CTGGCTCGAGGTAAACACAGGCTGCAGGACTTTCCACCACATCTCTCTCAAGCAGCTATTTCCATTTACATCAAAGAGTCCTGAGTGTAGAAGTGCACACTTTGGCTGGAGGCTGGGCAAAAAGAAAACCTCAGGAAGCTTCTGTAGTGATGCAGTGAACCCAGGAAAAGCTATATCAGCTGCGTCCATCTAACAAAGGCAGAGGGGATAACACAAACCAGCAGGAATGAAAGCAAGGCCAGAAGAAACTAACTAAAAAAATAAAAATCATCACATTATTTCACATTGTTTCTTCCTTACATCAAGATCCCAAGGACACTCTTTTTCCCCCCCAATACCAAAAGATTTTGTTCAAACATATAAATGCAAAGATTTCAAATACATTTCCTTTCTAGTTTGTAATGTTACCTTTAAGAAAATGCTAAAACTAATTAGCACAAAATAAAAATTTCCAAATTTTACAATAGTTTGTAGGCGGTACAAAGCATTCATAAGATGGACAACAGTTGTTACTTTTCCATTTCACAAAAAAAGTATAATTCTTTTTGTTCCGCCGCCAATATCGTTGCATTACTCTACTGCAGGACGCAGTAGGGCTGCAAATGTGTAAAATGAATCCATTTTCAATTTATATGTAGAGTGCATCTATTAAGACAAATAGAAAAAGTTTCATGCAAAAAAATACTTCCAACTATTAAAAAAAAAAGTAAACATGAAAACGGGTCAATTTGATCTGCAACATAACAGGAGGTTTAAGTCAAAGCGATTTTATTATGTTTTGTGTTATTTTTATGTGTTATACAGTGAATCTACAGTAGTTTTACTCCAGGTTACCATAGCGTGAGAATCATATACCAAAAAAAATGACATCATATTTCATATTGTTTCAAAGAAATCTATTCTATACTAAAGTTAATAGCTTTAAACTGAAAAAAATAATTGTTGTGTTCAAACAACGTGAGGTGTTTCCATTTTTAACAGGGAGCAACTACAAGGGCCCACATTTGAACTATTTGAGCATTTCTCATTCACAATATGACTGCAAATAAGCAGGTAAGAATAAAGACAAATTAAATATCTTTATCAGAAACAGCAATGCCTTTACAAGTCACAATTAGTTCCCACTTAATGAATGATGGACAGAAGTCTGGTCGTCACGGCTCTATGCAGCGATTGTTATTGGAACAGCTTAATGAAAGCACTATGTCACTTTTAATACATTAAATAACAAGCCAATCACGGTGCAGCAGAACACTGACAGGAAATGAGTATCGGTGAAGACACAGAGAGAGTCTATGAGCCAGCTGCACACGTCTGCTGGTAAAACACAAACCAGACCTTGATTCCCCAGCTGCTTTATCCAAATAACACATGCAGAATGACATGTATGCAGAGTCAGTGGTGACCACACACCACAGAGGTTACGCACAGCCATGACTTGTCTGAAAAAAGTTGTCCAAAGTCGGGAAACGTCCAGCAGGGAGCAGGTGGGACATGGTCTTTTACGGCTTAATTTATATGTTTGAGGTATGATACCTAAGAATACTGCTAATATTCAACCTACATCCAAAATTATTAGATGCAATAGAATAAAGAACAAACAATATTGATCTGCTGCCATGTAGGCACTGTGATGTCACATCCTCCATGGTGGTGTATCCTCTTTCTGTGTCTCAGCTCCCCCGGACTCATCGTCCCTCATAAAAAGTTCAACAAAAACCAAACAGCCCAGTCAACTAACTCGCCCTTGTAAAACACACACAGACAGACACACACACACACACACGCACGCAAGCAAGTGCATGGCAACACACTGAAATTCCAGAGCAGGGTGCTCTAACACACCCTCCAGAGTCTTCTCCTTTGATGTGAGTGTGGGAAAGCTCAGGGGAATGGTCTTATGGTCTTAGTGAGGGCGTGTGGGGGGAGGAAGGGACAGAGTGGGAGAAGGGCGGCGGGGCGGGAAGAGATGGAGAGGTGGCAAGGATGATTAGAGACTGGGGAGTGTGTGGAAGCATGTTGTGTGTGTGTGTGTGAGAAAAGCGTGTGTCAGGAGAAAAGACTGTGATGGTTTGTTGACGCTGACCCCTCGGAACATCGATAGGTCAGTCTGTTTCAGACAGACACTCACATATTCACACTGAACATGCTAATTAGCAGACGGGCACAGGAAGAGACTCGCTTCGACTCGATCGCTGACACACACAACGCTGCAGCCAAAGAAGAAGCGAGCATTAAAAGAGCAACGCAACAAAACTACTGGGAGGGAAGGAAGAAAACTGAAGCATGTGACTAAAATGATCCAATAAAATGTGGAATGATTTGATTGTATACGTCCAGTTTCGAAACTGTTCCATAGCACTTGACAGTTAACTAGAAACTGCTGGGTTTAAGGCCAATGACTTAGACAAATATGCAATATCTAATAGTGTAGCTGATACGTGTATATTATGAATTTGGGTATAGTATGAGATTTATTATCCAAATTGCTTTGTTTGTCAGTTAAAATAACTCAATTCAACACAAAAATGTAAATTTTTGTTCCTAGACGTTAGACATAAGTCTCTTTTTCATTTATTGGATTGCTGGTTGAGAGTCAGTACAGAAGGTCAAATCCATAAAACAAATCAATCAAAGACTGAATCATTCATATTTGACTCAGATGTGGATTATCAACATAACCCAAACTGGATTGTTTTTGACCCAGTACTTCCCAGAGAGTATGAATGAGAGGAAAACAGAGGCTAATGCCAGATCGGGTAATAATCAACTGGAGCAGAGGCAGAACAAGTAAAACATCAAGTGAAATGAGGTGACGGTGTTATGAAACACAAGGATCCATGTGAAAAAAAAAAAAAGCCATCTGGCCCTGACCTCTCCAGATAGGGTCAGTCTTGGCAGAGAGCATCCGTGTTTGTGTGCATGTTTGCACCGCAGAGCAACAGCTACACAGAGGTTGTTTTATCTTGAATCTGGTCCTCTCTTGTGCCCTCAGGTCTCAGCAACCTCCCTCAGCAAAATCACACACACGCAGGCATACACACGTAGCGAGCTGAAGAGCAAACACACAAGTACACAAGCGAGGGCAAACACTGAGCTCTGAGGTCTTGGTAATCACACGGCGTCGGTCTGAAGAGGGGACTCAGTCCCCGTCTTCAAAACCCACCGCCACACTCCACCTCTCATAAAACCCGCTGACCTCCTCCAGAGAAGGTTAGAGGAAAAGAACTGGAGTTTGTTCTTCTGTCTGCATGCGTGTGTGTGTGTGCTCCTTCAATGTTAGTAACATTCACATTAATAAGAGGCCAAGCCGGAGACCTCCCACCAAAAAAAAAAAGCACACACAGACAGAATAACTTTTTTATGGGGAAGTGCACACATGCAACCAGACAAATAAACATCCTCGAGACCTTAGCTGCATCAATACAGTGTCCTTCTGCAAAGCAGGATCTGGTTTTCCTCTCTGCTGTTTATTATATTCACAAAATTCTTCTGTCATCTGTTCTTTAATTATCGTTTCACAAGTCACCAAATCTTTCATTCTACGTGCCTCTTGTGTCCGCACCATCCTTGCATCCATCCATCCCACCATGCGGCGTGTCTATCTGCCATTAACTCTGCCCGTAGGTTTGCCCGAGGCGATCCCTCTGATTTCAGGAAAATTAAATTACATGGCGGTTAAAGGAGAAGAGGCAGGCTCTTGTTTGCTACAACACGGCGTGCTGTGGTGGTGAGGGTTTTACAAGAGGGGCGGCAGGCTGTGTCTGGGCCAAAACTGCTTTCTCTCAATTCTGAGGCCAAAGAAAGACTGACGGAGGAAGACGGGGATCGGCAGAAGAGAGGGGAGGGGAGATCACGAAGAAAACAAAAGCGCCCTTTCAAAGCTGCTGTCTGACATCCTCAAAGTGAGACAATTTCAGAGGAGGCCAGGGGGAAATCCCGTGTTACTGCCACCTCCTTACATCTTTAGGAGCTTTTTAATGTGGCTTCCATCTCCAGTCTTTTTCATTTACTCATATCTGAAGAAGTCAGAGTAGACCTATGGCAGATCGGTTTTACCACATCTGTCATCAGGGCAAACGTACATAACTACTAACCACTGCCTTACATTTACACTATTATGTACTTACTTTACTACACAAATCATCCAAAAGACTGTAATCAAGGAATATTCAGGAGATTTTGCATGTTTTATGGCAGAATAAATACCTTTAAATTCAGACTTTCCAGACATAAGATTTCACAGCTTCTATTTCCTTCACATTCTTGTAGGGAAGACACCAGGCATCAGCAGGGAGTCCTGACCAACGTTTGTTTGAATAAGAAAACTCATCTTTCTGTCCATATCATCTGTGATTTTATCAGTCATGCGCACGGCAACTCTTGCAGTTATACAAGAGTTGCCATGCATAATAAGTTTTTTCTCACGCAAATGCCTATATTTGCAAGCACAGTTTGCAAAACCGTAGTATTAGTTGTGATGAAGAATCTGCGAAATTCTTCTGTTGCCAATCGTTTTCGCTTTGCGTCACATCACAATGTCCCAATCAATCTCCAGTCTTTACTTTCCCTTACATCTCGGTGTGGTTCTGTGTTTATGACCACCTCCCATGGTGAAGAGAGGCATAATATTGGTGAATAGACGAGTCTTGAATAACTCTTTGATTAACATGGACAAAGAATTTTGATTGGATCTCTTAGTTCAAATATTAACATACTTATGTGATCATTTGTATTACGTGATTGATTTCCAACACGTAAGTCTCCGCAAACTGCTAAATGTTGTATTATTTATCCTTATTCCCAAAAGAAACTCTTCACACATCACTTTGTGTGTTATAACAGTTTTGTGTGCCTATAACACGCTTGTTGGTTTGATGCGTTTCCAGTTTAAAAGTCTCGGTTCAGCCAGCCTACAATTAAACTAATAAAAACATCATAGGAGTGATGGCCAGGCCTCGCTGTAATATGATAATGTGACGTGATAAGTGGAGACTGACCCTGAATGCATTGCAGCGAGCCGTCCTCCGCCCGGATGGTAAACGTCTCCCCTGGGTTCACCTGCACCAGAATCACCTGTGTCAAAACACGAAGACAAAAGAAAGAGGAAAACATTGTAAGAAGGCACAAATGCAGACAGTAAAAAGGGAGAAAGTTTATATACAAAACATCCGTTACGTAATTTCCAGAGGTGATTTGGCACAACAAATCTAGGATCATAGAGCATCATTTACACATGTAAATGAGAAACAGCTACTTTGAGACCCACACCTCGATCTTAGAACAGGTTTCTGTAAAAACCTGTTCTCAGAGAAGATCCAGTACAAATACAACAGGGGACATTCTAGTCTAACAGAGAGACAGGTGAGCGCGGGCACAAATGAAAGCAAAGTAAACAATTAAGCTTCTGATCAAGTCCGAAGGGAGCAGGCAAACACCTTACCGTCATGTTCTCTGCGTTCAGGTTGTTGAAACTGTACACGTGGCTGTAGACATGAAACAGGTGACCCTCCATTGCATACGCACCAGGCACGCACACACACGTATTCAGGGACATGCATGCATGCACGCACAAGCACGGTGCCGTCTACACTCCACAGGTGCGCCTTTCAACAAGCGTTGTATCGCGCGTTCCTCCTGTAGCCTCTGCTTCTTCTCCCATCTCATGCTCCCTTCCCGTCACACACACAGACAGATGCACACTTCCTGCTCTGTCTACTGCAGCGGCTGCTGTTGCTATGGGAACGGCAGCATAGTGCACGGCACATACGGATGGAGAAAACCTCTACATGGGACCATGTTGGTGGGAGTGAGAGGAGTGGCAGCTTAAATAAACAGAACTGCGTCAAAGAAACCGGACTGTTAGGTATACCCATGATGCTTCACTTTAATGGGTACGTGTCTCATTACATTTGAACCTACTGTTATCCCCATAGATGTCTATAGCTGCTGGATTTAACCAGTCAGCTTGTGTTGCACATGAGCAGGAGTGAAGGTAGAATTCACAAAATCTGAAAAGAAATGCGACAAAATCTACATATTTAGGTGATTTGTAACTGTTTTGTGATTGATATTAGACAGAGAAAATTGTTCCCCTTGACTACGTCTTTCAAGTCACTGACAAGAAGAAATACCAATAAGAGACACTTTAAATTTGCAGATTCAGGCCATTTGACCCAGAACTAGAATTTTGCGGTTTTAACATTCATGAAGCACAAAAGGAGATTATACAACCCAGCCTTTAATTGAAGATGCACAGAGAAATCACCTGGTGATTTGAATCAGACAATATTCAGCCTGATCGGCCCAGACCTGGAACGGTCCAGACCTGGAACTGCACAGCTGAAACACAGTCTGATCAGTGAACACAGCATAAATAAAAATGTCTACGTCACTGCTACACTCTTCTGTGTGGATGCTGCTATTGAGAGAAAAAAGAATCTGCTGGGCTTTTTTTTCAGTACTTTTTATTCAAATATAAAAATAACTCAGTCTGACGCAGTGGTAAGTTGGTCAGTGACACGAAATCTGAGACTTTCTGATTGGCTAGCCTGATCAGTGTTGGAAGAGTTGGAACGCCAAACATTTGACCTTTTCCAGCTCACATTTGATTGATCGATTTACTATTTACTACTTTTAATGGTAACTGCACTATGCATAGTGCTATTCATTAATATCAGATGCTAGCGACTATTTTACAATGCTAAGCAACCCATTTTTTCAAACATTTTATCGATAACCTGGTCTGTAGCAAGTTCTCTCTCACACAGTGTGATGTCACCTCTGCTCCTAAAATAGAAAATGAATGGTTGGTGATTGAAGGAATGCTACACATAAACCTTCTGGAAGCCATTCAGAAGCAGCTGTTTTCTGCTTTTAGCTTCAAAAAAGTAAAGGTTTGCAAAACCTTTCACCAAACCCAACCCCCTACACTGAACTCTTTAGGTTAAAAAAGAGGTAGAAAACCTTACAGTTGGTTGTCTTTGATCTTGGTTGTACCCGATACTTACCCTCTCTTAGCTTCAGTGTAGAAAAAGTACCAGCAGCTGCAGCTTGAAAAATGCAGGCTAGTAAACACAAATACTGAGAAAACTGACAGACAAGCACTTAAGCATGTATTCAGACTCAACACAGACGCTGCTGTGCCCACACAAAAGCTAAAAGGGTATGAGACACAAACACACAAAGTACGACAGACAGAGAAACAAACAAATTCACACATGTGGACATAAATGCTGAGTCAAATCTGTATAATCATCGGTCTAGATCCCTGATTCCACACTGGGAACCAAGTTTAAACTGCAGGGTGTTGTGATAAAAAGAGCTGCCTAACTGCTGTGTACTACGGCCAAAACCCCCTGCATAACTGTATCGTGTCGCAGCCAAAACACTCCCAACATACTTCCTCTGGGCTGTGAGGGAGCAGGGCTACGGTGATGCAAAAGCTTTCACATCCCTGTTCTACCAAAAACTCAGTTGTGAAAACGTTTCTGACCAAATATTTAAAGTTCCACTGAACTGCGCTGAATTTAATCAGAGCGATCGCTTCCCTTCGTCTGAGCAGATGTCGATTCAGGTGCTGCGCTTTCGAAGAGGCCCAGCTGGCTTTGCAGCATGTTTGGGGGAATTCACTTAACTCCCTTTCCAAATTATTTCAAGTCAACGCTTTGCGAGCATGTGGCATGTAGGGATGGAAATTTGTTCGGCCGTGCTTCTAGGAGTTTTTATTACTTTTTCCAGCAATGCCGGTACGTCACTCTGAATACCGAAGATCTGCAGTGATCCTTTGTGAAAATGACTTGACTTGTCCTTATCTGTCTCGGTGCTCCTTTTTGCTCCAGCTAATGTCTACTTCATTGATAGCAAGGTCTTGGCAGCTTTTCAAATGACACACGAGACTTGTGATGAAATGACAACAAAGGGAAGAGCCTGCTGGATGCATCAACCACAACATAGGAAATGATGAAAGAATAAGGTGGAAGTATTCGGGGGGGTTGAACTCTAAGCGTCCGGCTGACAGATGTGTGCGAGTGTGAAAAAGCATATATACCTGCTGCGCTGCGTCACCGTTAACCATGTGAGGCATGAGCGGGAGCTCTCCGTTCAGGAGGGGGGGCGGAGCCAAGTCCAGTGGAATCTGGTCTGTCATCATCATTGTGACGTACATTCATGGAGAAATTGACTGAACTGCCCTACCTGGGAAAGTACAGAGAGAGAGAGAGAAAGGGAGAGAGAATGAATCAGCACATCCTCATTCTTTAGACATACACGCGATGGGATGGTCAAAGTCAGGAGAAACAATGACACGTTTTTAAAGGTCGTAAAACTTGGTTTATATTGCTATATTGTACTGTTGGTCATGATGGACAGCTTCTTTGAAAACATAAAGCGTTCATAGCAAACCATCACGCAGTGGCAGAGAAAACACAGGAACGTCAAACAATACAGGGATCACCAAACAAGACATTAAGTGTTAAATGGACAATTGCTTTTCTATTTTAAAGTCCAACTATCCAAAAGTCTTAAAAGCACAAGGCATAAATGAATCACAATAAGATGTTAGGTCATTCTGAAACTCACTCTTCGAACTGAAAAAGAGCCTACTGAGTCCCGGCTGTTTAAAACACAAATGGACGATGATCTGATATTTAAATTAAATGAACTGTTTTATTTGTAATAAACAAAATAACTGCTGACAAAATCAACACAATGGGTATGTCAAAATGACAGGTGGCTGCTAATTGACAACACAGAAAGGAAAATAGCGAGCAGACTTATTTTCACTACAGATCTCGGTCAGCAGAAAAGTTCTCCTTGTTCCAGATTTCATCACCATTTATGAATTAGCGAGAATATTGGCTTCAAGGAAAGCAACAACCCAGATCTGAGGAGAGAGAACAAAGTACAGCTGATGTACCAACGATAGACAATTCAGGAGGAGTAAGGAGCTAGATCATCACGGTAACTGTGGGTGTAGTTTTGTTGTGTTAAATAATCCTGGAAGTGAAATAATAAAAGGAAAAGTTATGCAAAAATGGAAACAAGAAGCATTTCCTGAGGTGTCTTGTTTCCCTCAACCACTGGCTTTGTGCAAGAATAAATTCTAATGAAGTCCAACAAGCCATGTCTTGTTGATATAAAAGAAAATAAAGATTAAAGAGGCAAAGGGGAAAACAGAGACCAAACCAAAGTGTTTTACTGTCAACAATAGCCCTATGGATTACAGTTAGTATCCTGTTTGCAGAGCTAAAGAAAGGCGAGTAGGGACAAATTACTGTTTTCTTAGAACAAACCAGATAAACATAGCATTAAGCTTTTATGTCATTTTTATTATGTCTAATTGTTTTGGTGCTCTATGGACCAAGTGGAAGACAAAACTAAAAGAGGGGAAAAAGCTAACAATGCTATTATTCTAAAGTGGAAAATGACATGGCATCACCTAACCGGCTTTGGGGCAGAAACATAAAGAAAACCAAGCACACATGGTGCTCATCAGGATTTTAACCAAGCTGCTAAACCAAGCTTTAACAAAGTGTGTGTGCATACACATATACACTGGGGGGAAAAAAAACAGAAAAGATAAACATACAACTAAAACTCTGAAGCTTCCAATCGCGTGTCAGCCATACACACATTCCCCCGGGGGAAGCATACACACGGATAAACTGAGGAGTCCGGCCTCAAGTGTTCTCCAGGCTCACGCATAAACACGTCTGCAAACATACAGATTTACTGTGTGAAGTGGACTAAATAATGTAGGTGTTCAATTTCAGCGCCGAAGCCGGTAACCACTGGTAAGGAGCCACTGACCGCTGGCAAGAAGATGCTTTTAGTGCACACAAGGACGTATGCAGCACACAATACGTATGTGTTGGGGATTTTTTTTGATGTGGCTAAGTCAGAGAAATCCGTCTGACATCCGTCTCTGACACATATAGTTCATAAGCATGTGCACGTGTGCAGCACATTCCTCCAAAAGCAGCTGTGTGTCATTGTGGGCCTCCTTTTTCAGCCGGCCCGCTATTACAATTGACAAGGTCGCTGGAAGGGTTAGGTTTAGATCACCCAGCTGGGACTTGTCCCGCTGCAACATAAACACGCCATCCTTCTGTTACCTCCTGGCAAATTTCAATCAATCCTTTCTTTTATTTCTCGACTTTGTCCTCATCCGTGTTTGATTCTCCATCGACGCCCCGTTTCCAGCTCAGCCTAGACCTCCTGACTTATACACACGCACTCGCTTACACACGCGCACAGCTCAGACCGATGGTAACACCACCGTGAGCTTTGCCAGGAAAAAGAATAGACAGAGAAATAGAGAAGACTTAACTTGAGGCAAAATAGGGAGTGATGAGGGAGGAGAAGGATTACAGGAGTAATTTACATTGGAAAATATCAGTAATTTGATCAACATGTTAACCAAAACTGAAGCTTTTCTCTTAATGGTGCATGGACTTTACGGACACTACCTAAAGAGGAGCCACAAAATACATCTGATGCTTGACTTGACAACAATATGTTATATTGCCTTCCATTGCAAGGAATAGACAAATATACAGTTTTAAAGGAGTGGTATTATGTAAAATTGACTTTTTTTAGCTCTACGTCATGTTATTATTTCAGGCATGTTTGAGAAATCTTTTAATCTCCCATGGCAACCATTCAGCTTTGTGAAACGCTTGGGGAGTCTAAGCACCGGCTTCAAGGACAAAGCTCCTCCTCAGAGCTACAGTTTCCAAGCTTCTGAGCTTTTGATTTAAAGAGCAGCCCTCCCTCGCAATGCCTCCGCTCCACTCCTTCAGACTAGCCAGCATCAACTAGCAACACACCTAGTGGAACAACACAAATGTAGAGCTCATTAAAAGAGCTACTTCTCAGACCAAAGGTGGCAAAAAGGTTGTTAAAGGGTTAATAGAAAAGCAATGTTGTGATGACTTTATAAAGGCAGACTGTCAGAAAGAGCAGGACTTCCTTAAAGAAAAATTATTAAGTCAAATTTATTTCAAGCCATATTACATATATACAAAATTTTTATCACAACTGAAGGATGATATTCACACTAATGCTATTTCTGATATTAGGAATTAATACTAACATCACTCAGTGTTATGTAGTTTGTGCTGAAGAATAATTTACGTCAGCATGCCAAATGCTTGAAGTGATCTATTGAAGTGCTGTGACTTACTTTCTGATTAATTTGCCAAATAATTATTTGACTCCTAGCTTCGTTTTACAACCTGTATCCCAATCCATTTGCAGCATATAAACACAGAAGACATTTGGTGACCGTCTTACGTATTTCATAATTGTGATAAGACTGGCATTTCATTCCTCCACAATTGGGCCCACGTAAAATAATCTTTTTTAATATGCAAGCACAAGATAGGAAACAGTGTAACAATACCTCCAGGAAAACTCGAGCTCCCGTAACTCTCTGCAAGCTTACATACACCAAATCTGATTTTTTTTTATGGACACTTTACAGGCAAAAATGTAATTTTTTCCAAATAAAACCCAGGACACTTTCATATGTGGTCCTGATACCAGATAAGCTCCGTGGTCACATTCCATCTGTCATTCACGCCACTGAGGTGAGACAATGTCTCGGCGCTATTAGAATGAAATTTAAACAAAGCAGTAGGCATGACACTCACCATTGCTGAAAATAGTCCTAATTTTGACAGCTTCGGTTGCACAACAACTTCATGCTGAGACTGTTCCAACTAGATCCAAATATATTAAAAGATATTTTGTAATCAACCAGGATGCAATGTGAATGTGGCCTGAGAGTTTAGTCATTGGTTAAAAAAAATAAAGTGAATATGAGATTTTAGGAAATTAAGATTTTTGCTTTAAAGTTTTTACTGTCACAGATTTTTTTTTTTTTTACGTGAAGCAATTTAAGGTACTTTGTCTCAAAAACCTTGAAGGGTGAGTGAGTGAGGTACTAACAGGCTGCAGAGAGCTATCTCAGCTTTTTAGAGTTCACATTTTTATATTTTTATTGATCTTTGTCTGCCAATAATTCCAGTTTCAAAAGCCAATTTTTTGAATCGCTATAAGGCAGAGATTTTTTTTTCCTGTGCCCATCTAAAGCATTCTGTAATAGTTTGAACTGGCTTTAGCCAAAGCTGCATTATGGAAGGTTTTACCCACCAGACAGACACACACGTAACATCAAATATCTTAGATTGAATATAAAACCACACAAAAACATTAGATTGAATATGAAACAACACAAAAACATTAGATTGAATATGAAACAACACAAAAACATTAGATTGAATATGAAACAACACAAAAACATGCTACATAGGAGTTTCAGTGTTTGTTTTTAACTAGTTTTAGGCAATATTTAAAATGCTATAAAAGCTTTTGAGGTTTGATTGGCATTTTAATGCTGCTCTGAACGAAATATAATCTTCTCTACTTCTCCAAACTTTCAAGTGCAGATAAGACACCATCAATTTATCCATTCATCTGCTGTATTCTGCTAGTCCAAAAACTGATGTGTCATTGAGCTATCTCCAGCTTGTTTCCAGGACCTCATTTATGCAGTGAAGACCCATATCTCATCACCACAAGCGAGATTGAAACGTAGATACTGACTACTCATACATATTTTACAGCATCCCAGTAAAAACAACAAAAATTGGAAATTCCTTTTAACCATGACAATGAAAGACTTTAATATTAAATCCAACTTACATGCATATGCATTTAAACTTCTGCTCAAACAAAATAAAATAAAAAATCCAGCTTATGCGATTACAAGAATGCTGCATGAAGTACACATGTGCCTTATGGGTAACTGCAAATAACACATCCTGTTGCTGCAGTAAATTTCAAAGTAGACAGTCAAAAGACACAAGACGAAAAAACAACGTTTTTCCATTTAAGTCCCATTCATTTCCAGAGTAACTATAGATGCCCTGTTATTTTCCAACTGTGGCATTCCACATGCTTCCTGCAGGTTGTAATGTACACACTGGAACATTTAATGCATCTGTGAATGAATAATGAGCATCAAGGCATGAATAATGGCAGCAGCTGCTGACAGCAGCTTCATACATCCACATGCCAAGCATACATACATACATGGATGCAAACAGACAGTGCGGTTTCCTTTCTCCCGCTGGAATGCTGGAGGAATAACATGGAGATTCCAGGCAGGGATAAGTTGTTTAATTTTAAAA